TTCGAATGGGCAGACGCTAAAAACTTTCTCTCTTGGCACACTTCCTGGTAGTACCTTGTTTTCAGCTGCTTGTGCGCTGAAACCCTTTCAACCAAGCAGAGTCCTGAACGTCCACATCAGCCCATGCTTCGAAGCCCTTTCCGCTGCACACATCTGAAGATGCGCGGCATGTTCTTCTCAGCTAGATGTCTACCCCTTTGAATTGGAAACTTCTAAGCATGGGTAGTCTCTTTCTGCTTCGAAGCCTTTCCACTTGGCACACATGACAACGCGCAGTCCGTTCATCTCAGCTAGACGCACTCGGAAGCACTTACAGACAATAATAACAGGTACTGAGTTTGCTATGTCATAAAACCAGTGTGAGATCTCAAACATACTTATTGCAATGAGGGTCATAGTGTCTGAGCTGAAAAACATCGACAAGTGGGACATAGATTTTGGCATAATTATATACCACAGAAAAGCAGCAATCTTAGACTTCATGGTGCCTACAGGTTCACAAACACATATAAAGTCACACAAGGGTAGTTATTCCTTTTCTACTTTTCCTCTCTTGGGCCTCACGTTGGGTGCCAAAAGATGTCCCAGTTTAAATGAGACAAGGGTCTTTTGCTGAGGATGGATTAGGAGGAAAAGACCCAAACTTCTCTTTCCAAGCAATTATAAATCCAAAATTAAGAGGCTTCGAGTGAAGGAAAACAAATTATGGAAAAGGGAAAATAACAGCCCTTTATTAAAGGTATGTGTGTATTAACAGGAACACAAAAAACCCAAGTAAAATAACTAAGCAATATTCCTATACACACCAATAATCCCCTTTAAGAACAAAACCGATAAACCGGCAAGAAGAAAATCAAACAGTTCAATTTTTTTGCACCCTTTGATGCAGTTCCAACCACAGTCAGCAGGGGGCGCCGTCGGGTCCCTGGAGATGCAAAATTTGTAATGTCCTGTATCGTTCACCAGGTGGCGCTGTTGGGTCACTGAAGGTGCAAAAACTTGTAGTGTCCTATTGTAGTCACCAGGTGGCGCTGTTGGATCACTGGAGGAAGCAGAACTTGAAACGTCCAGTGCCCATCACCAGGCGGCGCTATGGAATCCCTAGTCCAAACCGCTGAGTACAAGGCAGCGCTATAGATGTGTCTCAAGACAGAAAACTTGTCAGGACCAGTCCTCTCTATTTGCAAATTTCTAAGCATTGGTAGTCTTTTTCTGCTTCGAAGCCCTTTCCACTGCACACAGCCGAAGATGCGCGGCATGTTCTTCTCAGCTAGATGTACTCTGAGCGCAGTCCAGAGACGTCTCTCTGCTGCTGCCACACAGGAAAGCGAGACCGGCAAAAAGCTGCCACCTTCGCCCTGTCCGTCCTGCCGTTCTGCTACGCCCTGAACACAAGAGCTAGGCACTTTCCTTCTTACACGGGCAGAGTCCTTTCTTCTCTTTGGTTCCCACACATCTGACTTGATACCCTTAGAGAGGTCAACAGATGAGCCCATGACAAATGTCCTAAAAGGAAAACCCACAGCTAGGTATCTCTCTCTCTTGAAACCAGAAAGCACCACACCAAGATTTGCACTTCTTCCCTCCACGTACCAGCAAAACTCTCAATCGCACAGCCGAGATCCACGCTGTGCGCTACAGCTCACAAAGAAAAGTGTGCCAAGAGAGAAGGCTTTCAGTGTCATTCCCCTTCCAACTGCAAACTTCAAGTCACTGCCATTCGACTGGGAGTGAGTTTCCCCTTGCATCCTTTCAGCTGTACAGCCCTCCACAGAGCGTTGCGCGTTCTTGTCGGCTGCAAGGAGGAGGGCGAATGCAGCAAGGTCGCTTTGCCGGGCTCGTCTCACTCTGCGGTGGCTGAAGCCGACACTCTCGGCTTGCGGCTAAGCGCTTGTCTGTAAGCGCTTCAGAGTACGTCTAGCTGAGATGAACGTGCAGCGCATTGTCGTACGTGTGAAGTGGAAAGACTTCGAAGCAGAAAGGGACTGCCAATGCTTACAGTTTACAATTCGAATGGGTAGACGCTAAAAACTTTCTCTCTTGGCACACTTCCTCGTAGTGCCTTGTTTTCAGCTGCTTGTGCGCTGAAACCCTTTCAACCAAGCAGAGTCCTGAACGTCCACATCAGCCCATGCTTCGAAGCCCTTTCCGCTGCACACATCTGAAGATGCGCGGCATGTTCTTCTCAGCTAGATGTCTACCCCTTTGAATTGGAAACTTCTAAGCATGGGTAGTCTCTTTCTGCTTCGAAGCCTTTCCACTTGGCACACATGACAACGCGCAGTCCGTTCATCTCAGCTAGACGCACTCGGAAGCACTTACAGACAATAATAACAGGTACTGAGTTTGCTATGTCATAAAACCAGTGTGAGATCTCAAACATACTTATTGCAATGAGGGTCATAGTGTCTGAGCTGAAAAACATCGACAAGTGGGACATAGATTTTGGCATAATTATATACCACAGAAAAGCAGCAATCTTAGACTTCATGGTGCCTACAGGTTCACAAACACATATAAAGTCACACAAGGGTAGTTATTCCTTTTCTACTTTTCCTCTCTTGGGCCTCACGTTGGGTGCCAAAAGATGTCCCAGTTTAAATGAGACAAGGGTCTTTTGCTGAGGATGGATTAGGAGGAAAAGACCCAAACTTCTCTTTCCAAGCAATTATAAATCCAAAATTAAGAGGCTTCGAGTGAAGGAAAACAAATTATGGAAAAGGAAAATAACAGCCCTTTATTAAAGGTATGTGTGTATTAACAGGAACACAAAAAACCCAAGTAAAATAACTAAGCAATATTCCTATACCCACCAATAATCCCCTTTAAGAACAAAACCGATAAACCGGCAAGAAGAAAATCAAACAGTTCAATTTTTTGCACCCTTTGATGCAGTTCCAACCACAGTCAGCAGGGGGCGCCGTCGGGTCCCTGGAGATGCAAAATTTGTAATGTCCTGTATCGTTCACCAGGTGGCGCTGTTGGGTCACTGAAGGTGCAAAAACTTGTAGTGTCCTATTGTAGTCACCAGGTGGCGCTGTTGGATCACTGGAGGAAGCAGAACTTGAAACGTCCAGTGCCCATCACCAGGCGGCGCTATGGAATCCCTAGTCACCGCCCCGTGGGATGGGGGAAAAAAAAAACCAAAACAGTACTCTCCAGGTACAAACCAAAAACCAAAAAAAAACTCGGTTCCCCTTCCCTTCCCACACTGGGAAGGAGAGAGAGAGAGGGACTGGGGGGGGGGGAAGGGGGAAGGAAAAGAAAAAAAAACAGCAATAAAACAGAAAGTTCTCCCAATGGAAGAAAACTCACGAACTTCAGCTGATTAGGATTAGTGTTAAGCAGGGCCTGCAGCCAGCAACAGCTGAGAAGAGAACAGCAACAAACTCCACTCCGACAGGAAGAAAAGAAGCAAACTAGGCAGCTCTGCAGCTTACAGCAGGTCCTCGCCTCACTGGCACACACACACCAGCCACACCTCCCTTCCCCACCTCCTTCCAGCCCCACACACCAGTTCCCCCTCAACTCTTCCCCCTTCGTTGTCAAGGAGACTAATCTCTCAGCTATTACTGGGCCAGGCCGATTCTTTTGTTCACCTAATGGGCAATATACAGAGCACACACACACACGGCAGGGGGAAGGGGAAGAAAAAATTCTTTGCTAAAATCAGAACTATGACACCCGTATAAATTTTTTCAAATACCCCTTGACCAGACATTACAAAGGATACATTACGTATCCTACAGACAAGAACGAATACCTAACCAGACGGGAGGGTCTGGATTGTACAAAATAGTGGGAACACCAATCACATTTCCCTTTTGTTGTGAACTAGAGACTGAAATGCCTGAATTTTCCAACCCCTTCAGAATACCATGTGCTAAACACCCAGACTCTGAACATTTTAGCTGGGTAATTTGTAAATGTGAGATATGTAATCAAAAGTGGTATTGTTCTTCAATCAATAGACAACCTCATTGTTGTCATGAGATGCAGATTCAGTACATTTGAGTGTCCACAGAGATTATTAGACCGGACAGAGGTCTGTAAAATATTTTGTGGATGGGAATTACTAATGCCGGTGAATTGGGAAATTTATGAGACAAACTGGGAGGCAGTATTGAGGGAGTGTTGCTCTAGACTTTCCTGGAGGTTGGGTCAACCAAGTAGAGAGATATACTTGGAATTACAAAGAATAATTAAAAAACTTAATATTTGGAAATAGAGTCGCTGACAAAGACATTATATTCCCTCAAATCGAGATAGGAGAAACTCTGACAATTGTTTAGGTAAGACTCCTGAAGAATCCCACTGCTGCCGAGAAGAACTGATACCTCGTTGCTCCCTGCAAAGGAGTAGACGAAGGAAGGCAGAGTGGTACAACGGTGGAGACAACTTGCCAAATACCCTTTACCTCTAAGACGAGAAAGGAATTGTGTTGTTGGTTGCAGAAATGGACAGATTTTTATTATTAATTATAAGCATGACGCTTATAACGCGCGAAACAAAAACTCTAAACCAGCCCTATAGATGGGCTGTAATCAGATTAGATGACAAACAAATAGTCAAGGAGACAATAAGTGCCAGAACTCCTACTTTTAATATCACTAATTGTGACTTAATAAAACACATATCATATGTGTACAAACCAAATATAGTCTATGGCAGACCTCTTGAGACAAGAACAATTAATCATTTACCCTCTTACTGGTATCCCAAATACAATCCAAGAAAGTCATATTGCAACTATCCAGGATATAACTATTGTGGTTACTGGGGCTGTGAAACTATAGCTACTGCTTGGGAACCTGAAATGTATGACAAATACATTATAGTCCAATGGGCTCCTCTAGGGTGTACACATCCTCCCTCAGGCATTGGTATCATGGGATCCAGATCACCGGTGTCAAAATGCTCACATTTGCAATTTCAGATCAAAAGTCCTGATGATCCAGAATGGATAACAGGAAAAATATGGGGAGTGCGATTGCACTTACCTGGGACAGATATAGGAAGTGAAATAAAGATAATAAAACAACCAATGTCTCCACCATCTCAGACCATAGGACCTAACAAGGTAGTAAATAACGAAAAGGAGAAAGGAAAAAACAAAGGGGAAGAAAAGTCATCACAACCTTTTCTACCCACTACAAAAACCTATGAAAAAATAAGACTCTCTCCCGGAGTAAGAGAGCTTTTAAGATTAGCAGAGGCATCCTATAGTGCTCTCAATCAGTCCACACCCAATATAACTAAATCCTACTGGCTGTGTTATGACGATGAACCGCCGTTCTATGAAGGGATCAGACTGAATGTTACTTTTAACATAAATAAAGAAAATAATCCTAAACAATGCAAATAGGACCAGAAAAGAGTGGGACTTACCATGCAACAAATTAGAGGATATAGAACATGTATGGGAAATGTTCCCCTAAACAAAGATGAATTGTGTGGTTTTGAAGTATTAAAACCAAACAAAAGAAAATATCAATGGGCTATACCAAATAAAGAAGAATGGTGGATATGTTCAAAAATGGGCTTAACACCCTGTGTGTTTTTACCAAAATTTAATGAAAGTACTGAATTTTGCATACAAATTGTGATAATACCTTGAATGATTTATCATTCTGAGGAATCACTGTTTGAACAATGGGAATCGGGTCATCATAAAATACAAAAACGAGAACCGATTACCCTCACTATAGCTATGTTGCTGGGACTGGGGGCAACAGGAACCGCGACAGGAATCACTTCCCTGGTTCAACACAGAAAAGGACTAATAGCCTTAAGGACAGCAGTAGATGAAGATTTAGATCGAATCGAAAAATCAATAACATATCTAGAACAATCACTCACCTCACTCTCTGAGGTGGTATTACAAAACAGAAGGGGACTGGATCTGATATTTCTAAAACAAGGGGGACTATGTGTAGCATTAGGAGAAGAGTGTTGTTTTTATGCAAACCATTCAGGAGTTATCCGAGAGTCCATGACAAAATTATGAGATGGAATTGCCCAAAGAAAGAAAAAGAAAGAATCACAACAAAACTGGTTCGAATCATGGTATAATCAATCTCCTTGGTTAACTACCTTAGTCTCTACCTTAATAGGTCCTCTAACAATGTTGATAATTACACTAACTTTTGGTCCATGTATTTTAAACAAATTCATGACTTTTGTCAAAAATTGAATTAACACAGTGCAGTTGATGACTATGTCCCAACAATATGAGGATATGAATAGAATGGTACCTGAAGAAAGACAAACTCCTAACCTAAATGCAACAAAAGAAATAATAATGAAATTTGATGAACAAATTTATGATGAAATAGGAAAGGGGGAACTGTAATAGGTAACCCAGGATAAAAGTTACAATTTGCTCATCAAATTGAGCTAAGCGATTAAGGTTAATTGCACCTATTACCATGAGTTCAATAAGAAGAACTTTGTTTTTGTTATGGACTGGGCAGTCACAAGGAAACTACAATGTTGTAGTAGTTAAGTGATTACCTACATGATTATTATGAATTTGTATGTTTTAGTACTATACAGATGGTTGCTCTAAGCATACCTACAGGGCAAGAAAATAAAAGCAGCAAGAACCAAAGGGAGAGGACTTACCCCCCCGTCTGGAAATCTCCAAGAGACAGCCTCTGAAGACTACGGTCTAATCCGATCATTGGCTGAAAACAGGCGACAAGATGGAGCCCGCGAAAAACAAAGACCAATATCGGGAAAGCCCGCGAAATAAGGACCAATATCGGGGAAGCCCGCTAAATGAAATCCAACGAAGAAACTGAAAGAGACTCGAGGGGTGGAGAAAAAGGGTGGGGTATAAAAGATGGACCGTTGGTCTGTCACGTTGCAGACCGCTGATGGAACGAAAGTGTCCTCCAGTCACCCAGCGCGCTGTTTTGCTTACTTGCCTTCAATAAATTTCTTTTATATTTTACCAAAATATAATTTTGGTCTTTTTACCAATAACACCCACACTTGCAAAGCCCTGTAGCGACAGGTGAGGGACAAAACAGCAGGTGATAAAGGTGCAGTGGAAGCCACAGTCCTAACCCTGCATGCAGGCAGTTCAGGACATTGGTCGCCTGAGTCTGACCCTGGACGTGACAGTCTCATTCGGCAGCATCCTGAATAACCAAGTAGCCTTTTTCAAGGAGAGCACTGCTTGCTCCACACGGAGAAGTGCCTAGGAAAGGTGGTCTAACCAAAGCTCATCTCCATCCTTCACCTGGTTGGTTAACTGTTGCCAACGGGTATCTTCTGATGAAGTCAAATAAAGATTAAAAGGCAGACACCTGCCTTCAAAGGTGTACTCAAATTAACACTTGCATATGGGGTCTGGTTACACCAGGTGCTGCAAAGTATCCTGGGAGTTGTAGTTCTAAGTACTCTGTCACACATGCTCTGTTGAATGCTTGCATGGGGTTGGCCTTAGGAAGTTACCTGTGTGACGTGGCAGCATTTGAAACTGCTATATAAGCTGTGGCTCCTTGAATAAACGTTACTCTTGTTACACACCACGTTGGTGTCGCTATGGTCCCTATGGGACTTATTATTTATTATATTAATAACTGCTACACTTACATGCTGGAACGTCAGAACCATGCCTGATACTGCAGATAGTGGATGTCCTGAGCGTCGCTCCGCTGTAATTGCCCATGAACTGTCACGACTCAACATCGACATTGCTGCTCTCAGTGAAGTTGGTCTCCATGAGGAAGGCAGTCTTAGAGAACATGGTGCTGGTTATACACTCTACTGGTCAGGTAAACCCAATCTGAAAGGCATCTCTCAGGAGTTGGCTTCATGACCAAAAACTCTATTGCCTCTAAACTTGAAAATCTGCCGATTGGTCATTCTGATTACATTATCTCCCTATCTCTCCCACTACAGAACAAGCAACATGCTGTTCTCTTCAGTATAAATGCCCCAACCCTCCAAGCTTACGCTGCTGAAAAAGATAAATTCTACACCGACCTGTGCCACCTTATCCAAAAGGTTCCTGCAGATGATAAGATCATTATCCTTGATGATTTCAACGCCAGAGTAGGAAAGAACTCTGAAGCCTGGAAAGAACTACTAGGCAAGCATGGTGTTGGGAACTGCAATGATAATGGTCGCCTTCTGCTAGAGTTTTGTGTTGAGCAGCAGCTTACCATCACCAACACTGTCTTTCAGAAGAAAGATAGTCTGAAGACAACCTGGATGCATCCTAGGTCCAAGCACTGGCACATCTTGGTCCGACAGAGAGATATCCGCGATGTTCGTCACACCCGCGTGATGCCTAGTGCAGAATGTCAAACGGATCATCGCCTTGTGCGCTGTAAACTTAACCTCCACCTTAAGTTCAAGCCTAAAAAGGGTGGCATTCCTAGAAGGAGACTTCAAGTTAACAGTCTTCAAACAGCTACAGTGAGGGACAGTTTCCAGGCAAATCTTCAATCCAGGCTCGAAGTTCATTCCACAGATCCCTCTCCTGAAGTGCTTTGGCAACTTATTAAAAATAGCATTCTGCAGTCCTCTGAAGAATCCTTAGGGTTCTCCTTCAAGAAAAACAAGGACTGGTTTGATGAAAACAATCATGAGATCCAGGAATTTTTGAGTAAGAAGAGAACTGCTCACCAAGCCCACCTTGCTCAGCCATCTTGTTTTATAAGAAAAGCAGCCTTTCGACTCGCATGCAGCAAGCTACAACAGAAACTTCGTGACATCCAGAACAAGTGTGGGACCCCTAATGTTGCCAAATCTCATGCAAACTCTTATTTCACGTTCCTTAAAGTGAGCTTTGTCAGAGTTTACCTCCCAGCTCCCAGTGCCCATCATCTGCCCTTCTTGCAGCTTTATGACTTGCTGTTTTTTGCACTTACAGCTTTTGCTGTCTACCTATCCTCCCTGCAAAACTCCAGCAATCTGGCGGCAGTGGAGACACAGGATGCCATTAGAATCCAGGATTCCACCTACAATTTTGCATTAATCAGTGCTAAATCCCCTGTTAAACATGGTTATGATGTTCCCAACATGAACTTTTTGAAGATTTTTATGCCTTCTGATTTCCTAAGCTGATTTCTTACGGATTTGTACATGAGTTCAATTCTGGGAATTTCACTCAGCATTTATGTCTGTGGAGGTGAAGTGACTGGTCACAATGTTCAGAGGTGCTTCCCATTCACCCAGTGTGCTTAGAATTCTTTTCTCATCCCCAAGTGACCCTCGAATTTCAAGACTCACAAGGGGCATTTCCCAGGGCTCAAGGAAAATATAATATTGTAAATATACAAAAGAATTTCTGATGGTGTAAATGATCAACCCTCTGCAATCTTCACTGGGTGCTGGGATGAGAAAAAGCAATTAAGGCATATTGATCACTGGGTCAATTTCAAAATCTACCCTCGGGAGCCTGACCTACTTTGGACTAAGCTTGTTCACTGGCAGTTTCCCCTCAGCTTCCAGGTAAAATGAGCTGCATTGACAAGGACAGTGCTGCTCTCTGAGATAACAGTGGGTAGACAACAGTGTTCCACAGGCTGGATGGACCCAGCTGGTAACACTTAAGGGAATGCATCAGTGCTGAGCAGATGTATCACAGCTGTCTCCATAACACACATCTCAGCCCAACTCACAGCTGGATCCCGCTGATGGAACAACTGGGTAAAGCTGGGCAAACCCGCTTTTACGTGGGTTTTTCTTTAATTTATTAATCAGGACAGATTTAGCCTCAAGCCCTTGAGAGACTGTAACAATCTGCAAGGTCTTCGCTTTTTTGGAATGATTTACCAAGGGGAACAGCTAAAGCCAGCAGCTTTTTCCTCTAGATAGCTGGAACAAGGTATTGCAGCTGTTTCCATACACAGAGCAGAGGCACTGGGCATGAAAAGGCTTGTCAATGCTAGGGGCTGGCTCTGCTTCTCCTCCACCTGCCCCATGGTGCAGACTCCAGTTCATCCCAGATGGGCAACACAGGCTGTACAGATGAGAAGAGAGGTGTACACATTCCCAGTCACCCTAAAGCTGCTCTGCACAGATCTCTCTCTCCCTAGCGCCTGCTAATCCATTTTCCCTTTCCTTCTGGAAGGCTTTCTTCTGAAGGAAGAAAGATGATGATCTAATTTCATCCCAGGAACTGCATACACAGCATATTGGACTTCTAGTAACACTGCCACAAATTAGTAGAGCACAGTAACAGGAAAGAAAACAAGAAATTCTGCTTGCTAATGGAATAGAGAGGTGGTGGAAAAAATCAAATGTGCTCTGCCTACCTATCCTTGCCTGGATGCACAGAGTTTGAACTCCATGACAGTCATGGATCATGTGTAAACAGAAGTCTCTCTTTGAAGGGTTGGGAAGTGGCGCTGCACCGGTGGGTAGGCAGAGTGCTGCAGTGTGAGGCCGTGTGTACTTCTTTCTGCCCCTGGCCTCAGCTGACCTTGGGCTTTTGACTCCCAGTGCCTCATTTTCCCCATCTACACAGTAAGTTCTGCTCTTCACAAAGGGCGAGTAGCAGGTAGGATGAGGGGAGATATCTACACTTAGCTAAACACATTTTTGCTCTTTCGTTTTCTCTAGAAACACAATATGAGAAGGGAAAGGCATACAGACTTTTCAGAGGACAGAGGTGAGGCAGCTGGGGCAGCCAGGCTAGAACTTTCCAATCAGACTTGTGGAAAATGGCTTATCTGGGAAACAGCTTGAGACCTAGCCAGGCCCCAGCAGCCAAGTGCAGAGGCGGAGCTTACACTGGGGCTGTTTGTTAGATATAAAAGGCTTGGATAGGTCAGTGTTGACCACAGCGCCTGTGAGGTGGCTGAGAGAAGCTGTGCAGAAAGCAGAGAGCAGTGCTGGCCATGGGAAAGGCAGCCCCAACTCTCCTGGTACTGCTCAGCCTGACAGCAACTATTTGTGATGCTGAGGACACCTGCTCAGGTGAGTGGAGCACAAATCTTACTGCCATCCCACTGAGACAGCCTGTTTCATCTCTCCCCATAAGAGCAGGAGCTGGGGGGGCATATAATTTTGTTCCTTCTAAGCTTTTTTAAATTCAGCTGCAAGTGGTGGGAGTGCAAGGGGGATGCTGAAGTCTGAGAAGCCACTTAACAAAGCAAATTCCAATTAAAAATGCAACATCCTTCCCCAGTCACCAGCGGGATCTCTAGGAACAGGCTGTTCCCATTGAGATTTTCCATCCTGGTTAAGGTTTTTGTTGGTGGTACCTTGGCACAGTTACCAAAGGATGCAGAACAATACAGAGGATTAGTGGATGCCTGCTGGGTGCCAGGCACCCTGGAAGCCTGGGGATGCTACACAGTGCAGTGTTCTGTCTGTATTCCTCATGAAGGCCATAGGGACAATTTCAAACTGACCTGCCATCAGGAAATTTAAGAGAACACTTACTGCCCACAGATCCATCAGTGTCACTTACTCCACTGTTAATACTCCACTGGTGTACCTCTCAGCTTTTGTTTTATTAAGCTGCAGTGTATTTGTCATGCAATGTCATATATATTTCATATATATCAGCCTCCTCTCCTACTGAACTCTCCTGAGGCAGGACAGATTCAGAGTCTGGCTCCCCTAAAATGTGAGATCCTCAATGCCATTCATACAACAGCTGTCAATTCACACAACACCTTCAAATTTCCACACTCATTGCTTTTGATCAAGTTTTTCTTCAACTTCAGAGGGTTTGCTTTCCTCTCCAAAATATTTCAGAACCCTAATAATCTCCACAAACACTTTCTTCCTTTCCTCAGAGGTGAGAATAGTGGGACTGGGTGATGCTGACCGACTCGCCATTCTCCAAGGATGCCCAGGTATCCCAGGTGTCTCTGGCCCAAAAGGAGAACCAGGTCTCCCAGGAAAAAAAGGTGAGACCCCTAAAGCCAAGGATGAGAACTGTGATACGAGACAGCTTTTTTGCTTTGGTTAAGGGAAGCAAGATGAGGCTTCAGCAGTGGCAGCCTTGGCACTGGCCGCTGTTAGCAACTGGAGAATCAAATAGGAGTGGAAAACACCCCCAACTAGACATGTTCTGATACACATGGAGTCACCTCTTTCTTCCCTGAGTCCTGTCACAAGTCTGAAAGTTAAAAGACATGCTAGGGTGTGAAATGTCATAATTCATTTGTTTCTCTGCAGCAAAATAACCCATTTATTTTCTGCAGATTAGGACTTAAACTGACAGTGTAAGTGTAATGAGGCTTCAACAGAAGAAAAGGAGTAAGGAAAAAGAGTAAACTACATTGCAAGACTGAATGTAATTAACAAAACCCAGGTCCCTTTCTTCTGTGAAAGCAAAGGCCCAGCTATCCCGGATTTTGTGACCTCTCCCCTCTGGTCAGCTTGCAACGTGCACATAAAAAAATGAGTCTTTCTTTACAGGAGAAATGGGAAAACAGGGATTCCCTGGGAAAGCAGGACCACCTGGTGCAAAAGGTAATGCATAACATATTCAGTTCTAATCCATAAATCTCCCCAAGTTCAGGACAAGTATTGGGAGACTGGGTCTACAGAAATGAACTGCAGGGTTGGCCATAGTCCAGGAAACAGCCCTGAAGTAGCATAGTCAAAGCCTGATTTTGGGGTATGGCTATTGCATGGAGTGAGCTTTAGAAACAGTGTCCTTGAGTGGGACCGCAGCACAGAGGAAGATAACTACTCTTCTCAAACTTCCCACTGATCCTTAACAGCACCCTAAAATCAGACCTCTCCCTATTCCCCACTCCTACCCTGACCTTCCTCTGCCACAAAACAAACCTGCCCAAATATCCTGCAGCTCTGAGGAACTTTGAAACTCACTGCAGAGCTTCATCTCAGAGGCCTGAAGCAGAGGCACGTTGCTCAGTGCTTCCAACAGTCTCCAGGCTTGGACTCCGTGCACAATGCCCACTTGATTAGAAGGACAGAATCAAAACACCAAGAAACATCTGACACATGGTGAGGTTTTCTTTGTAATAGGATGAGGCCCTGAAAAGAGGAACATGTCTGTTGAGAAACTGGCTTTCATCACCCAGCTTGTACTTAGGATCTTCAGCAGGGCCTGTGTGCTGCAAAATGTTGGAAATGTAACTATTCTAAAGAAAGGAGTTCCCAGTACAAGGTAGCACCCAGGAACTGAGCGCTGACAAGCAGGGAAAACACCTTGGCCAAAAGCACCACAGACTTGAGCTGAAACTTCAGTAGGAGATGGACAAACCCACTGAAAAAGCAGCTGTTGCACAAAATCTCACACGTGCCTGACTCTAAACAGGAGGTGGCATGGCAGTTCTCTCTTCCCTGTATCTGGATCTTCCTGCTGTATCCGAGAGATAGTTGTTCAAGAGAACATGGCAGCACCACCTGGGACACTCAGTTCAGCACCGTACCTTTGCACCTCTTGACAGGCTCTCTTGTACATTTGGGACATATTGAGGGCCTGGGGCAGCCACCTTGGAAGCCACAGTAATTCATATGTGATGAGCATTTTCCTCTTGTGTTTTGCAGGAGCAGCTGGAGAGCCTGGTTTGCCAGGACTGAAAGGTAAATCACGCTGTGCTGAATTCAGCATGTGAGCTACTTTGTTAGACTTCCACCTGTACTGTTCTGCAACAACACGCCAGAACAGAGCAATTATAGAGAAATGGAAGTACCCCACTAGGAATTGGATGGAGTTCTTTGGTGAGAGTTGTGCCCCATCATAGGTTCAGCCCTGGCCCAGGTGCTGTGGGGAGAACTCTTCCCAAACCAGCTCTTCAGCAACAGGTGCTGCCCTCCGCTCCAGAACCTGGTGTTGCTGTCTGGCACCATCAGCTTGTGCGTCACCCAGCAGCCACCCCATGAACCTTCTGGGCAGCCTGCAGAGCTGCTCCCACTCTCTCAGGGTGCTGGGTGTCTTTGCTGTAGTTACAGGGGTCTATGACTTGGGTTCCCATATGACCCCCCCCGTGCTCTCCAGGGTCTGTGCAGATGGGCTGGTGGGTCTCCTCTGGTGGGCCTGGGAGTAGCCAGGGCAGAGCTTATATTTAGTTACTCCTCCTGCCTGGTTTCTCCATGCCTTTCATCTGTTTAGCACAGAGGAGCCAAGCGCTTCCTGTAGTATCACAGCTCTCCAGTTCAGCTAGATTTGTCTTGGCAATGATGCCAGTTGCTGGGGGAAGGGGAGTGCTGACTGTGGAAGCTGAAGAAAAATTGATGAAGTTGTTTGTCCAACAGGAACAAAAGGAGAGCCTGGATTTCCAGAAATATGGGGTGAGTCTCATTCTAGGTCTTCATGCCACTGTCAGCTTTGAAGAGTTCATGTTGGTGGACTACCTGCAACAGAAGTCAGGACAGGAATAAGAAAAAATTCAGAGTGACATTAAAGGACAGAGTAAGGAAATATCACAGTTAACCAGTTTGATTCTCACAGGTACATGCAGCTTCTGTGGGTCTATTCTGTACTCCAGTCAGGCCAAGAAAGTCATGTTCTCTGAGCACTATTCGGGTCTCCTGTTCTCTGTGTGGGAGAGATAGACCTGGTGGAGGTCTATCTGAGTTTTTTGGAGCTTCAGTGTCCGGGTTTCCAAGACGAAATCATTAGAAAGAGCTGTATGGACATGCAGCTACTTAAAAGGCAGTTACGCCCCTCCACTTGCTTGAGTGGGAAGCTTCCGTAGATGCAGAGTTCACATATGTGGTAGTGATCAGATTAACCTAATCACTGGAAAAAAGATGGGGAAAAAAAAAGGGAGAAAGAAAACAAAAAAGCTTCAGTTAACCCATCTGACTCCATGAGCTAAAGCCAGAGCTACAGCCTGCTCTGGCTACAACTGGATGTTGCATGGCCACAGTCACATGCAGGGCCTCAGGCAGATCAGAGCTGCTGTAACACCTGAGGGACTGGGATGCCACTGAACTGCCCGCTGCTACCCCAGCCACTCCTCTGCCCTTTTATGTTTACTGGGCATGTAAAACATTTGACTAATAAGGAAAAGGCCAAGTCCAGGACCATATCTCCATTAGGATGGACATCCACGCCCACAAGACCGCCCGGTACAGCTGTGCACCCGTGCACCACATGGGGACATTGCACATTGGGACATCTGCACCACCAGCACCACCATCTGAGATCATCTCCCAAAACTTTCCCTAAGACAGACACAGATGCAGGTATAGGCTGGGATGTCTGATAGGGACCATTCCAGTCACATGTGAATCTGAGCTTCTGTTTGCAGGTATGGTTTTGGGAAGGAAAAAAATTATGCATAATATGTACATCTATATATATATATAAAATATATATTCAAAAGTGTTGTCTGTCTTGGGGAAACCTCAGTGTGGCCCTTCAGTACTTAAAAGGTGTTTATAAAAATGCTGGAGAGTGATTTTTTTACATGAGCATTGAGAAGACAAGGGGGAATTATTTAAAATAAAAAGAGGATTCAGATTAGGTATGAGAGGAAATTCTTTACTCAGAACAATTTGAGTAGGGTGGTGAGGCAGTGGCACAGGTTGCCAAAAGAAGCAGTGGCTGCCCCCTCCATGGAAGTGTTCAAGGCCAGACCGGATTGAGTTTGGAACAATCTTGTTAGTGGAAGGTGTCCCTGGCCATGGCATAGGGGTGGAACGAAATTTAAGTTCCTTCCAATCCTAAACAGTCTGTGATGCTATGATTCAGTCCACAGAGGATGACCTGAACACTGTTCACAGCTGCATGCTGTTTCTCTGTATGACTATTCCTTTTCTGCCAACTCCACACACACCCTCTGTGTCCTTCTCAGAGCAGCTCCATCACCCAGACCCCCAAGAGAGTCAGTGTGAATGAGAGGAATCTGAGCACCTTAGACCATCTCTTAGAAGGTGCCCATCTCCCCTGCAATATATGGACTCAGAAACCATGGCAGGGGTTATTTCCCAGCAGCCGCATGCCAGGGTCCTGCAGTGCTACAAGCTAGCTGGGTGCTGAAGGGCTCCAAGCCTCAAGGCTGGTGTGCTCCCTGGATGCAGTGAGCACATTATAATTCCTTCCACGTGATCTCTTTCTCTGATTTGCACAGAACCCAAGAATTGCCAAGAGCTGTTGGGCAAAGGGAAGATCTTGAGCGGCTGGTACACCATCTACCCCCAAGGCTGCAATGCCACAGCTGTCTTCTGCGACATGGACACAGATGGTGGGGGATGGATTGTGAGTAGGATGAGAGAGGGAGGTTTGTATGTTCCTAAAGTGATTTTTGTTAAGGCTGCAAAGGGTGGCTCCAAAATAGAAACAAAAGGGAGGAAAACACAGACTTGAGCAGACAGCTGAAGTTCACATTAGCAAGCCAGTGTGAATCCCTGTGTGGATGAAGGAGAATCTCTCAGGAGTTGTCTCTGGGAGCAGATCAAGAGCCACTCGCTGCTTAAATCAGCAAATCATTCCATCCTCATTTCCAAGGGCAGATGGAGGACATCCTCTATTGAGGGACTCCTTTGAGGTTTGCTCCCCAGAGACCTACAAGAGTGTCCTGATGCAGGGGGCTGTGTACCTCAGGTGCTGTGGATGCTTTGGGCGAGGGATGGGCTGGTTTGGCTCAGGGTCTCCTTTCCTCTAGGTTTTCCAGAGGCGCTGGGACGGGTCAGTGAAATTCTTACGAGATTGGGATTCATACAAACGCGGCTTTGGCAACCAGCTGACAGAGTTCTGGATGGGGAATGACAACATCCACTTCCTCACCTCGCTGGGTAAGGTTTGCCTCTGTCCCGGGATGGGGCCATGAGAGTCCAATGCCTGTACCACATTGGATCATTAAAGACCTCTGAGCTTCTTGTATCCATTTGATGCCCCCTACTGTTAATCCCCAACAGGATGTAGGTTCTTGCAGCCAATTACATGGAGGAAATTGTAATCTTAAAAAAAAACAACAAAGAATTCAAGAAAGAGAATGAGCTGGCTGCATGGTCTATCCCGGAGACAGGCCGAAACATTTTCCTACTCAACTGGTTATGTTGGCATCATCTTGTCCACACAAAGGCTTGAAGTCAGAGCTGTGTGCAGGAGTCCTGAGCATGTAGCTTTCAGTGCTCGTGACCACCCACCATCACATCAGAGAAGGTGCTTCCCAAGAAAACCATCAAAGGTAGAGGATATTAATATCCTCTGTGGGAATATTAAATAAAACATAATTTCTCACGTAGAGAAAGTTTCTCTCAAGATAGCTCAGGGCTCCTTAAAACCCCTCCCTGACACCCAGGGACGTATCCACCATAAGCTCTGCGCCACTGCTGTCAACCTATTCTTCTAGGACCCTGTGAACTCCGCATTGACCTGAGAGACTTTGAGAACAACTACTATTTTGCCAAGTATGCTTCATTCAGAGTTTTGGGAGAGTCTGAGAAATACAGACTGGTTCTAGGGGACTTCCTTGGTGGAAATGCTGGTAAGTTTGAGGCAGCTCACTTTTACTAGAGCATTTCAGAAGTGCTCAGCATCTATAATGTAGAGCTGTATCATGCAAACTCCTTGTATCAGCTACATTTTATAACAATTTTTTAAAACTGGCCATGGTACCTCTAGGTGCATGACCTCTAGGTGCAGGGAAGGAGAGAGACACCCATCACAGAAGTGTGACCCAGAGCATTACCTACAAGCCCAGCCACACGTTTTAACAGAAAATGTGGAGCCTGGTCCTGAGCAGCACCCAACCCAACTGACCTTCCCAACAGCTCTGGAGCAACCAGGCCAAGTTCTGCTTTTGATTACTTTGGCAGGAAATATTTGACCATGAAGTCTGGCACTTCCAGGGCTGGGGTGCTGTTCAGCCCTTGCAGCATCAGCACCGCATTCTCTTAATACCTGACATTTTGCTTTTCTTTAAAAATCACAGGTGCTGTGCTGGGGGTCAAGGTCCTGATCCTGGCACTGTGGAGTGAGGCCAGGGCTGCCTGTCCCCACTGGGTGCCCACATTTCACCCTGCTCACATTCACAGCAAACAAATTTCCTGCAAAATTCAATATCCCTCATAAAAGAATGAGTGAATCAACACCTAAGAAAGCAGTGCACTGCGTTTATGTGGCTTTGTACACTGCAATTCTGTCTAGTATTTGAGACACCAGTGTGTCTGCAGAGAACCTGAGCAGTGCAAGAGAAGTGACACCCGTGTATCTGCGAGGAGAATCTGACCCATTTGATTAACAGGCATAGCTAAGTTGTCTGTGTGTTTTAGCAGAGCTCAGGATTCTTCTTTTGTCCAGGACCAAGGAAGAAACCTGGGCAACTGGGGCAACATTACGGCGGGATATATAAAATCTGCCTTGCACCCAGCAAGGGCCACGGGTGCCCAGCAAGGGTGCACAGGCACATCAAGGTCCTGTTTGTGATCCTTACTGCAGTAACTGTGAACCTGTGCTCTCTGCAGGAGACTCTTTATCATACCACAGGGACATGCCATTTTCAACAACAGATCAGGACAATGACATGAGCTCCTTTAACTGTGCCACAGAATACAAGGGAGCGTGGTGGTACAATGACTGTCATTACTCAAACCTGAATGGGATGTACTGGATGGGTGTGCATGGGAGCTACGCTGATGGTATCAACTGGAAGACAGGCAAAGAATACCACTACTCTTACAAGCGAACAGAAATGAAATTCAGGCCAGTCTAATATGGTAAGATGAGGTGCCAAGAGGTGCCCCTCACCAGCCAAGAGAAGACAGAAAACTTTTTGTTTGAGGACAAAAATAGACCAAGAAGGATATTACAGGTTGTGCCTTCTATGTAGAACAGGCTTTGAGGCCAGAAGAGATCAGTACTGGTTTGAGGTCCCTTAAGCACCAGACTCTCCCGACTTCCTCCAGCAGCCCTAATGATGCTGAGCCCAAGTGTCTTTTTCTGAAAAGTGCTTTACCTTGATTTAAAGAACAAGTGATAGGTGAGGTCACCGCATCTGAATAAAGCTTTCTGATATTATTACCCTAAATGTAATTACTGGTAATTTTCAGTCTAATCCATGTATATGAAGCCTCCAATATTCTTGTAGAGTCTTTCTGTTGGACCCAAGAGTCATCTGAATGGCACTGAATTCCTCACCTGTCACCTCTCCTTGCAGGCTGTGATGGAGCCATGGCATAGAAAAGCATGGAAAGGACTGAGCTTCCAGCACAGGCCTGTCAGCATCACCCCTTCCCTCATTCCCTTCCCAAATCATCCAAGGCCTCAGGTGGGACCCCAGCTCCTGGAACCACAGCAGAGTTTCTCAGCATTTCCCACCATGACACAGCTGCAGCTGGCCCCACAGCCAGTTTCAGCCACTCTGCCAGGGCACATTTCTTGATCTCATTTGCCCCTGCGGACC